CTTTATGCTAAATATATGTTTTTAGCTCACCTGAGCCGAAGGCTCAAGTGAGCTTTTCTGATCAAAATTTGTCCGTTGTCTGTCATCGTCGTTGTCGTTGTTGTCGTTGTCGTTGTTGTAAACTTTTCACATTTTCATCTTCTTCTCAAGAACCACTGGGCCTATTTCAACCAAACTTGGCACAAAGTATCCTTGGGTGAAGGGGATTCAAGTTTGTTCAAATGAAGGGCCACGCCCTTTTCCAAAGGGAGATAATCATGAATTTGTTAAAAATTAATGGCATTTTTAAAATATCTTCTTCTCCAGAACCGCTGGGCCAGGAAAGATGAAACTCATGTGAAAGCATCCTCAGGTAGCGTAGATTCAAGTTTGTTCAAATCATGACCCCCGGGGCAAGAGTGGGGCCAAAATGGCCGACCCTAGTTTTTCATAGGAATATATAGGAAAAATCTTTAAAAATCTTCTTCTCCAGAACCACTGGGCCAGGAAAGATGAAACTCATGTGGAATCATCCTCAGGTAGTGTAGATTTAAGTTTGTTCAAATCATGACCCCCGGGGCAAGAGTGGGGCCAAAATGGCCGACCCTAGTTTTTCATAGGAATATATAGGAAAAATCTTTAAAAATCTTCTTCTCCAGAACCACTGGGCCAGGAAAGATGAAACTCATGTGGAATCATCCTCAGGTAGTGTAGATTTAAGTTTGCTCAAATCATGACCCCCGAGCAAGGGTGGGGCAAAAATGGCCGACCCAAGTTTTACATAGGAATATATAGGAAAAATCTTTAAAAATCTTCTTCTCCAGAACCACTGGGCAAAGAAAGATGAAACTCATGTGGAATCATCCTCAGGTAGTGTAGATTCAAGTTTGTTCAAATCATGACCCCCGGGGCAAGGGTGGGGCCAAAATGACCGACCCAAGTTTTTCATAGGAATATATATAGGAAAAATCTTCTTCTCCAGAACCACTGGGCCAGGAAAGATGAAACTCATGTTGAATCATCCTCAGGTAGTGTAGATACAAGTTTATTCAAATCTTGACCCCGGGGCTAGGGTGGGGCCAAAATGGCCGACCCAAGTTTTACATAGGAATATATATGAAATATCTTTAAAAATCTTCTACTCAAGAACCACTGGGCAAGGAAAGATGAAACCCATGTGGAATCATCCTCAGGTAGTGTAGATTCAAGTTTGTTCAAATCATGACCTCCGGGGCAAGGGTGGGGCCAAAATGGCCGACCCAAGTTTTACATAGGAATACATCAGAAATATCTTTAAAAATCTTCTTCTCCAGAACCACTGGGCCAGGAAAGATGAAACTCATGTGGAATCCTCCTCAGGTAATGTAGATTCAAGTTATTCAAATCATGACCCCCGGAGCAAGGGTAGGGCCAAAATGGCCGACCCAAGTTTTACATAGGGATATATAGGGAAACATTTTCAAATCTTCTTTTCAAGTACTTCAAAGCTTTGATTAGTGATATTTATATGGAATCATCCTCAGGTAGTGTAGATTCTAGTTTGTTCAAATGATGAATGCCTGGAGGGGGGGGGGGTAAATTCAAGCCCGATGTGCTCAGGTGAGCGCTGTGGCCCCTGGGCCTCTTGTTTTAACTTGGTTGTTGCCGGGCGCATAGTGTTTCACAAACACATCTTGTTTTCTATACCTTCTTCACCAATGTGAGAATTTGAAATTGGGTTATTTTAATATGAAAACACACACAGCTTAGTCTAAGTTTAGTTAAAATAAGGCAAATTAGTTTGAAAGTGTAGGAGAGCAAAAATAAAACTGAATGAAAATATGTTGTGTATTGTGTACAATATTGAAACTTTTTATCCAAGTGTGTAATGTACTTCCAGATAGTGATATCTAATAGGTTAATCCTTTAAATGTTTACAGATTTGACAGGGATTTCTCATTCATCATTTATGGAATCTGATGTCGACTCTCTACCAGACATTGATAGACAGCTTATGATGGGGGTGTCAAGTGAAGATATAGAGACACTGAAACAGACAGCAAACTCTGCCATACACGACTCACTCCTCAAAAAGATACAAAAGATTGACCAGGTAATATACACCACTAATTCCTCAAAAAGATACAAAAGATTGACCAGGTAAAATACAACACTCACTCGTCAAAAAGATACAAAATATGGACCTGGTTAACAAGTGATATAGTTTTTGAGAAGAGATTATGTAATGGACTGACAGACAGATAGACAAACATTCCCATCACTATATAACCCTATCCATCCTGCTTTTCAAGCAGGGGTTATAAAAATACTTTTTAATTTTCATACTTAATTTATCATCTAACTACCGTATACAGGGTTTTTTTGCCCTGTGTTATTTATTATGACAAACCTTTGGATTAAACCTTTGTTTGTTTGTTAAGGAATACTGTAAGTCTAGGACCCACTACAGCTTTGTGGAGGCCCTCATAAGGAGAGTAAGAAGACTATTGAGGCTCAACACGGGGAGCTGATAGGTTATAAACACAGACGTGTGGCTACATACATGTAGTGAAATGATTGTTGTCTATGAATATGACTTAAAAAGAACATTCAGAGAAATATTCTGTACATCTAGGAACAATTTTATTGAGTGCTATACTGGCAGTGGACTATTTGAGCCAGCATTGCATGGAACTTGACCTACTGTATCAAAAATCTGTTGAAATAATTTTTGACTCTGTATAATAGATGTATGCGAATTTAATTCAGATGAAAACAACTACAATAAAGTTTTTTCAAGAATCAGATTTCTCGTGTTTGTTTTTGGATACTAAAAGTTTTCAGTCAAACCTTGTTATGAATCTGGCACCCAATGTATCCATGGAAAACATAAAATAAAGTGTTTCATCAATTTAATTATTTTGGTTAATTAAATTCCTTTGATGAATTACATTTACATCTAGCTAGATTTAAATGATGTAGATATTAATTAATGTTATTAATCTAATTGCATGTCACTCTAATTGCATCAAATATACAATAGAATCAGAACTACTGTGCAGTGCATGATATGCAGGGTTAGCTTCATAACATGTACATGATAATTTTTGTCATACCCGCAAATATACATTATATTCATATTGAAGGTTTCTTCCAATGTTACTCTTACTATTGAGCTTTCATTTCAACCTTGGGTAGAATAATGATAGGATAAAGTACGGTATTATTTTTTACCTGTATTTTGGCTACTGGAAAAAAATCTATCACAAACATGTCATTATTTAAAACAGATTGATTACATGTATTTGATTTTCTTCACTTTACCACTGTCACACTCAGCCACATATAGGTTGTCTTTGGTGTCTACACATAAACCAAATGGAAACTGTAGATCACAGTTATCAATGTAACGGAGGAACTGTCCGTCCTGATCTAGGATGTGGATACAGTCGTTGTTATAGTCTGATGTCAGGATCTGACTCTGGTTCGCGGGTATGTTAAGGAAGCATATGTCATTTCTCGGAAAATATAGACTTTTTAAAGAAAATTTAGTTTGATAAATTGCCAAAACCGCTGATAAAAGTCAACTGTTATTAACTACTGAATACAGATAAAGAGTGTCTAAAACAAAGACGTGCACCACTGCTACAGGATCACGTGACTTCTATTTATAAATAGCCAAATTTTCCTTAATAAAAAGGCTAACAGAACAAGAATACCCCGGAGTTTACTAATTTCTTTGAGTAGATAGTATAGTTGAAAAACATCTATTTTGCCTAAAAAGTGCTGCTAGAATCCCACTGTCCTGTCAGTAAAATAATTATTCCACACATTCGCACAAAACCTTACCCTGTGTTTTGAATTTTATACATATCAACCGAGATTTTTCATAAAATCATGCTTAACTCTGGATTCTAGCAGCACTTTCCAAGTTTGCCGGACGGCAAACTTTCAATCAGTACAAATCTTATGTTTTGAAACATCCAGCTTATTGTTGTTCTGCTGCATTATTTTTGTCACAAATTACAGAGGAAAGTCAGACCGGGATACGTTTATAGCCGACTGTCTTCAAAAGAGAATATCATCAATGAAAATAAATTAGCGTACCTGTTTTATTAACTGGAATCTATATGAATTTTACGTAATATTTATGATATTCGCTTTTAAACTCCATTTCACGTATCTTTGTACAAGCCGTCGTAGCCAAATTCTCTTTACACGACATGATCAATTCCCAAGTTACTTGATGTACACATATGACGTCATCGGTGTTAAATTTTAATAAAAATGACAGATAGGCCTACAGCATGACAAAATAAAAAAAATTATTACTGTTAATGTTTACACGTTTCTATTCATTTTCTAGAGTTAAATAACATCTCTAAATACCAAAATTATGAAAACTTGTATTTTAAAATTGACGTCATCTCGCTTACTATGATGTCATAATGTAGCACTGATTTAGTCAAGGTAGAATATTTTGTATACTTCCTTATCACCCCTGCGTTGTCTGTTGTGACGCCATTTGGATCAAATGATCCCTTGGTAGTAGAGGTATGACCAGTGTATCTAAATCGGAGTTTTCCTGCCTGATTGACCACCACTACTGCACGGGCTCCATTGTCAGCCACACAGATATCCAGGTTCCTGTTCTCACTGATGTACTTAAAGTAACCATATGTATACAGAGGTTTACCTTCACTATCAAACTGAATGCTTTGTTCCTCTGTAGAGCCAGAGTAGCGGACAACTTTTGATTGTTTATTATCATCAGTGTCCATCGTAACCAGGAGGTCACCAGAGGAGGTATTACAGACAAAGTAAGGTCTCCACCCCTGTAGTCTGATCACTTCCTGTATCTGTTTATTCTTCACTATGTTTACAGTTCTTGTACCAGGATCGGTATAAACTAGATCTCCACTCCTTGTCACTGCTATGTCACGTGGGGCATTCCCAGACTTGGTTTGGATTGACTTCAGTATTTTGCCCTGGAGGTTGTAGAGTTTCAAGTTTTTGTCACCTCCACGTGTCCAGATTTCTTCTTCACTGAGACAGGTAACACTTTTTAGATAGTTATACCCAGTGTGTATGGTGGTGATGAGCTCTGGTTCATCAAGCAGTGGTTTGACTGGAGGACAGGATACAGCTTCTAGTTTCTTCATTGTGTAGCCATGTTCTTCTGTTGTAATGTATAATGTTGACAGAGAACCAAACATTTGATGGAGCTGTTCTGTGTTGATCTGATGAGGAGAGAAACTTGGTAATGTAACATTGACTTTAGGAGGTAAACTTCTGAATTCAGCATTCCTTGCATTGTATGCAGATGATTGAGAGATATCATTGGAGTCTAGAATTTTCTTCATATCAAGAATACCCTGTTTTATATCAGAAGCAATCTGTTTGATTTCATTTTCATGTTTATTTAGAGTAGCTAGGCATTTGGATTTTATTTCTTCAATTTCAGATTTCTGTTTGTTTACAATGATGTTAATTTCTCTGTGCCAGTCTTCTCCTTGTTTGGTGACAGCTGTTGTCAGTTTCTCAAAATGGTTTTCAAAATTGAATTTTTCAGAGTTTAAATCTGATGCAATATCTTCATATGTTGGAAGTATTCTTTTTTCTAGTTCTTCTAGATCCTTGTTTAAAATTTCTTTAATGAAGCTTGGTTTTTGTAAGACATCTGTTAATTTATGCCCCTGATGTTTATCAGAAGAGATGCAGGTAGAACAGACAGGAATGTCACATTTCTCACAGTAAAGTTCACAATGTTTCTGGGTGTGTTTTGGACATTTTGGATAGCTAACATTAGGAATAGAAGTTCAGTGTTTGTATGGTACAACATTATGTCTTTTAGATGAATCAGAGAGATGCTCCCCTACACAGGCCTTACACAGATTAATCTGACAAAGTTCACAATGACTCTGTAATGCAGCTTTTTGACACAGGTCACAGAGGAGGAGAACTTGAGCTCTGTCTAAGGGGTCCATCACTGCGGTTTTGGTAAAAAATCAGATTACTCTGTATAAAGTAAAGGGAGACATGGGTCACTGACTACAAATATTTTGCACAATTTGAAACAAATGCGATTTTGCAAGTTTTTTCGTTAATTTGTAATAATTTAATTTCACTTGTATCAAGCTATTTCATTGGCTGAATCATTCAGAGGAACATATAATATTTGGGATAACATAACTTGCCTACGTCACAATGAGTTACGTCAAAAACGTATTACTCCGCTTGACGTTACTTTTAAAATAATGCTCAATTTGAAGCCTAATTCCGGAGGAAAATTTGTCTTATTGTCTATATTGAAATTAAATTATAAGGAATGAAGCTAATTTCAAATTATGTTATACGACATAACAAAACTTGGGGCAGTTTACACTTTTTTATAAACCGCTTCGTGGTTTTTAAAGCATAAAACTGCCCCAAGTTATGTTATATCGTATAACATAAGTTGAAATTAGCTTCATTCCTTAAGGTTGGTCGCGGGTTTGCTTTTGTCATCAATTTTGGTACACAATTTCGACGATTCGAGCGGCTGTTTTGTGCACATTTGATTATGACGTCAGTTACGTCACAAAGGCAACGTTGCGTTGTTTCCCGCTTAAATCTCTGCCAATGACTTCAAATCAGTACGAATCAAGTAGATTAAAAGTGCATGCTGTTGTACGTAAACCCCGTACATGTTTTACAATTAAATTTCAGTCTGAACTCTCATGTGATTACTAGTATATGTAATGCCCTAGGAAAAATTAAATACAATACATGTACCAAATGAAAGGAATAATTTATATTGTTAGTATTACTAAACTGCTAAAAGTCAATCAGAATAAGTCGGCATGAAAGTTATGGTATGCAGAGAGTAAGTTATCATAAATAAAATTGTTTAGCGGAAAACTTGAGGGGTTGTATTTGCGCACGTTATTTGCAACTGGGGGAACATGCGTATTGCATCATGACTGCTAATCAAAGCTAGGGCGAAAATATGCGTATAATTTTCAGGATGGAATCAATCCTCAACACTAAAAACGGATTGAATTTAATACATGCATTTTCCTTTTTTTCTCATCATCATCATCATTATTATTAAGTATTGTTTGGTTACTTATTATGTATCTTAATTTCATCTAGTCGCCTTGTTTTACTGGCTGATAAATTGTGAAATGCTTTCAAAAATCAAATTTATACACACACCTGTAAGACCTATATGAAGCTGTAAACAATTTGCAAGTATCTTCTATTATTAAAAGTTTTAAACAAAAGCTCTATAGTCAAAGTGTGAAAGCTCAATTCAAGTGTACATGTATGTATTTTACATTTTGTGCATGGAAATTTGATTAAGAGAATTCGTAATTAACAAATGTTTAAGAGTTAGGTCCATGTACTAGCTTGCGTCTAATATATATAGAAAGAAAATTGCAAATACCCCCCCCCCCCCCCACCCCGGCTAATTTCCTAGTATCTGGAAATTTTTTCTTTACTGTTATGTTTTTAATAAAGTGATCAAATTTTTGTCTGAAATCCTTTCCACCTTGAATTTCCTAAAAATACAGGAACTCATATTTTATCACTCGCGGTGTTGTCGATGCATGTTAATTCTCATGCACGAGGAATGTTTATACATGTACCCTTCATTCCGACTCTGTGATTAGGATATGAAATTCACAATACTAGTGAAAAAAGTTGCTGATCATCCTAATATATTTTCGCAATAAGTTAAATGATGAATAAAATTAAATTTTGAGTTTATGACATATTTTAGATCTTGTTTATTCCAAATGTCGAAATATTTATATTCGTACGGTAAACGTTACAATGTTCAACAAATGACGTTGTAGACATAAATAACGCCATAAACGCAACATTTCAGCAATATAAAAGGGAACTTTGAAATTTTTTAGCGAAAAATCTAGCGAGAAGACATATTGATTTTTTTATATCAATAGTTTTGATTTTACCAACCTTATCCAACCTTTTTAAAAGAAACTATTTTCACAAAATTGGCTTAAAAACGTCATTTTCCCATATATTTCAATAGTAAAGCGTAAAAAATGTACTATAAATGACAATACCGCGTTTATACTAATATAGCATTAAAACTACGTAGGCAAATCTTATAAAAATTGCAGATAATACGCATTGAATTCTCGGGAACATTATATCAAATTTTCTGGATATGTTTTCTCGTAAGAATTTTATGCAGTAAACCCGCGACCTACCTTAAATGAAGCAAGTAAAACACTGATATTATGTTCAAAAACTATTTGTGTAAAGAAGGGATTCCTTTACATGTTGTTCTACATTTAAAACTTACTGCGCTAAAAGAAAAGCAGGAACCGCAAAAATAACCCTAAATAAGAAAAAAAAAAATAAAATAAAAGTATCTTAAACCCTGCATAGGAACAGACATCTTTATGACAAAGCATGCAAAACATAGTAATTACATCCTGTCTCGAACAGGCTATTTTTTCCCTAAACATATTAGGTGAAACACCAACCTGAACTTTGACGTGTGTGACGTATCCCTTTTTCTCTAGTTTTATAATCAAATATTTACATTTGCAATCGTTTTCCTTTATATAAAACTACTGAAAGCAATGCGTATCTATAACTGTATAAATACAGGTATGGGGTCAAGAGGTCATCGATGAGCGTAAGGATAAACGTTTGACATAATTTCTCTGTGATGTCATAAAGGGTAGACGCGTGTTTAGTGGATTACATACATGCCGTTGGGTTTGAAAAATTACGCATTTTACACGTTAAAAGTCACAATCAGGCAAATAAAAAGTATGAATAAGTCACAAATGTAAATATAAGTAATAAGGTATCATTTTTAAGCATCTATCGGGCTATAAATACGGGTTGGTACGAGATTGAATTCATCATAAAGCCCTTCGGGCATTATGGAATTTAATCTCGTGACCAACCGTATTTATATCCCGAAAGATTTTTAAAAATGATACCTTGTTTCTTAAATAATCAAAAACTTTTTTCGTGAACATCCTTCATTGTGTCAAAGCATGTAAAACTGATTAATAAAATCCTGTCTCGAACAGGTCATTTTTCCTTTAACATTAAGTTCAACACATACCTGATGCTTGACACGTGTGACGTAACCCTCTTTTCTCCAGTCAACGGACTCTGGAGTCACAAGATTTTTGGCTGGAAGGTGTGATGAGCATCCGCCATACTTCACTGAGGTTCTGTTCAAACCATTGAGTTTCACAAATTCTTCATCTTTCTACAAAAAAGAGAATGCACAACAAATTTTACCTTATTCCGCAGATGACAAATTAATTATGGCAGTCACCGAAAGAAATGCATGACATTCTAATGTACAAAATAATGAGATATGGAGGATATCGCATGTTATAATCCTATGTTGTAGAACACAAAATCTGTGACACCTTATTTGAACAACACTAGTCTTTGGTACATATCATCGAAAACAAAATTCAAAACATTTGATGATTTACTTTCTGTCTGTTGCTTTAACTAAGAACAAGTTTGCTGCTTATCGTCTGATTAAAATACGTAACCTGACATAAGTTGTAATGGCGTTTACAGTTAGTTAACTAAATCATGGTTACAGAGATTTTTTGGTAGTTCCAAAGTAACAAAAAAACAACACACAAATGACTTTATGTACTCTAGAAATCTACACCTGTCATTTACTTCCAACTCAGGAATGTACATTTCATTGTTTCTTTCTTGAAATCAACCAAACAGTTTTAATGTACCATTTAAATCGATGAGCATAAGAAAAATTATCAAAGAAAACGAATTAAAACTATGAAGTTCAACAGCATAAACTACATAGTTTTGAGTAGGTATATAGTTCTAATGAGAAAACATAATATTAAGGAATAGAAAGCAAATACCGTTTAATATTAAATATTAACATTCGCTGTGTTTTTTCTACAAAGCCAGCTGCAAATTTAAATACCATTTTCGTGTATACTCACGCGTAGAAATATACAAGGAGAAACTCGCAATAACGTGACGACACAAGGCTACAGTGACGTTAGTAAAAATGCAGCGAAATGGGGCGGCAAGAAATTCAAATATTGAGTATATTTTTGGTGCTTTCAAACATCAAAGGACTGTTTTAGTTTGGTGTAAATTATTGATGTGAAAATCATACAGACTTTCAAGTAGGCATATTTTTCATGAAACACTAGCGCGCTTAATGAAATATGCCCACGTGACAAGTTGAATTGCTGCAAAGAATTTTCAAAGATATACGTTTACCTTTGCAGGTTTTCGTTACAAGAGTACAACTGAGTTAACCATTTTTGTCACAAGTGATCTAAATATTGACGTTATTTTCACATTGTGACGTCACAAACATGGAGCAAATCATTTCCTTAAATATGCTATTTATTGAAAATATTTATGCCTCTAAAGTGCGCAAAATTTCCTTCTATTCTGAATTGTGGTTTTGTAAATATAGGGATATTTCGCGAACATTTTGATCATCGCTTGTAAATATCCCGTTCTGCGGTCAGCTTTTAGGGAACCACTTGAAAATTATTACAAAACACAACAGGATCAAACAATCCGGTAGTTATCTGAAAAGTACAGATTAACTTCCGTATCTCGAACAAGGATATCCCGAATATCATGAATCTTTCGAAGTAATTTGGAAGTCCGAAGCACTTTTTCCTTAGGTATTTTACCTTCAATATCTCGAACCCTCTGATATCTTAAAGTGTTTTCTCGATTTCATCGAGTTAGAGATAACAGGGTTCGACAGTATGTATACTTTATATGATATGCGGAATTCTTGTACTAATCGGGGTCCTGACCCTGTGAAATGAATAATTTCTACACACTTAAATGCCCCCGATATCATATTGTTTGTAGTTTTTGAGCAATGTTACTCATAGTTTAAAAGAAACTCGTTTTCAAAATAAACATATAAATCAAACTTAACATATGATAAAAATGTACAAATGGCACGAGTGATGTACATGTATTCATGTATTTGTAATTTCAGTTAAGTGTGTCGTTTTGCATTACGTCACGATCTTTTTCGAAAGATGTTTTAAAAATTCACGCCGCCACTGTGTGATTGGTGAAGTCATATTATCAACATTAAAACGGAAATTGTCTGTTGCACGAGCAACCAATCGGTGATTAGAAGAAACGTCGAGTCGTAAAGCTTGCGTTTAGAAGTTTAATGCAAAACAGCACACTTCACTGAAATTAATAATATTACATACCAGGTCTGAGAACTGGTTGACCCCCATATAGTAAGATGTATTCCCAAGATGGTATAATCTGTTGTGTTCCTCAATTTCCTGGACGTTTTTTCTGAAAATCTCAAAGCGATGGATTTCCTCTTTATGAGTCTTGTACGTTTTATCTGAAGTATAAAACGTTACGTTATGTGACATACAAAAAGGCCTTTCTTCACTGTTTAACACCAAAAGTATTATTCATTATCGTTCAAGTTCGATCAAGACAATATATTTATTGTTCTCCTCTATAATCCGGAACAAATTTTAAAAACTATGAAAATTAAGGTATACCTTTACTCAGATGACTAAAAATTCCATTGATAAGAACGAAAAACCACCTATTGGACATTGTACACCTATGATTCTTGTGTTAAATTTCAATTTCAAATAACTAGGTCAATGACCTCGTTTTCATGCTAGGGGCCCCTGAGTATTTTTCGGGAAATACCTCAATTTTTCACACTATGACCATATTTTTCTTCATTCACAAAATATGACATGTAACAAAACTCTTTAAATAATGAAATATTATAGCAACTGAACAGAGTTGCACCTTATTAAGAAATGAGTAGAGTTTGGGCCATAAACGTGATAATTATTACAGTCCGAATTTCCTCTGTCATATTTATATTTTTTCCCTATTTTTAATCAAATATTCCAAAAATCTGACTGATAAGAACTCTAAATTATTTATAGCCTCAGGCTACTTTTGTTACCCTCATTCTCATGGTATCAATAATATATGAGGTCAATGATCAAATTATTGAGATATGTTGACTGCAGTGGTTTTTGTACATGTTTTCGAATTTCTTTATTTCATAGCGTTTATTTATTTGAAATAATTAATGAGCTTAAACACATATAATATTTGCAAAATGATGTCTTGAAATACATTTGATCTTTACTTTGTGATTAATATTGCAAGAAATAAAAATTTTGACAAAAATGAAAAAAATAAAAATTTAGTCCGAATTTCCTCTGCATAGCCATACATTGAGTTTTGTTTCTGTATCTTTTTTTCAAATACTTACATATCAAATTTTTAAATTGATATTGAGATAAAACTTAGTTATTTTATCCATTTAGAACAATTTTTGATTTAATGCATTAAACTTTATAAAATTTCCTCTCTGATTTCTGAAACCTGAGTAAACGTCATACTTAAATCTTTGATCATCATGGTTCAATAGCCTAAGTGATCAAGTTTAAACACATAAAGTTTCAATCACTTTAATCAAGGTTTTCTTCTTAATATGTCATAGAAAATTATATGCAGTTTGATGATTTATAGCGGCAATGACAAAAACTGATTTTTTTAAATCTCTGCATTCAAGTAAATATTCAAGCATCCCGACTGTTGTACATGGCAGAATAGATTGTTTACCGGTAAGGTGACTAAAGCAAGAGTTATGCCTAATGGCCGCCACATTGTAGATCAACATACCCGGGTTCCGTCATTATTCAACCAAGTAAAATTTGATTTACTGATAACTGATGTAAAGAAAATACTATTTTCCTTACAAAAATATGTTTGGTAAAGCCTCTATCATTTCGTGACTTTAGGAATGTTAACATTTTCTCCCAGATATCTCTTGCATGCATGTTTAAATTTGGTTGCTCATGATCAACGATGAAAATTCACTACATTTCCTTATAAGATTGTGGCCAAGGAAATTAACTCCAAGGCAAAATACTCAGTACGTCATAGGAAAACGGTCTATTAGAATTACATTGCCTTACCATGCAGAATTTTAAATTCCTTCCAGGCCTGTTCGTAGGGTTGATAGTTGATCCCTGCTTTTGTATTAAGGGTGTGTAATTGTTACGGGTGTTTCTGGGTCTCCTTAATATCGAAAGACTGGACATTCCCGTTTTGCACGGATGCCCCTCTCACCGCCGCAGCCAGTAAACACACTAACCACAAACTGTTCATCTTCTATTGATTCTCAGAAATCCTGAAAAGTTAAATAAAATATGAATACATTTTAAAACATTTGAAGGTAAGGAAAATATCAGCCCCGTAGACCATAAACTGAGAACAGACTAAAGGGAGCAAACTGGGGTTTTATTCTGTAAAAACTACAACAGAAAAACTGTTTTATTCCATATCTACCTTAAATTGAATTTATTGTGCATGAAAAATCTACCAACAAGTTTAAAAATGATGGAGAGGTTCTCAAATTTCTATGTTTTTAATGTCAAGAGCATATACATTTTACCTTTTTATGTCAACACAGGCAGGTATACAAACAAACATTGAAAAAGAAGAGTTGAATTAAACATACTCAAGTAGAAAATTAGTATCAAAATGCTTCATAAAAGAGAAGGATTTTTAAGTCATTGATTATCTTTTACTTCTTTTTAATTCTTAATGCATTTAATCCTAGATATCTCTCTTTGTAAATATCCTCAATTTTCAAAAAAAATATATATTGAAGATACATAAAACTAGACATAATTGCTGATCAAACGTTTACTATATATATATTTCGTTTACCTTGCCTGTTCTCTGGCTAGTGTAGAAGTGAGTAACATCTTACTGTAAATGTCTACTTATATAGAATTTAACTACAATTATGAATAACCATGCATCACTGATCATGTGACCTGCCCTTGGGTGATAGGTTCACAGTGGTTACAAATACTTCAGATTAGAAAAAAACAGTTTAAAAAAATGTAAACGACCATTCTCTTACAAATTTTCAGATGTGTTGTCAACTGCTAACTCCAAAGTATTAATTAAACTATGCAGTTACATAAATGAAGTATATGAAGAAGTCTGTCATCCACAATTATTTTTGTTACACCTTAATTTGAATGAATTTCCGCCATTTTACGTATATTTTCTATTTTTTGTTTTGTATAAAATGCACATCGAACTTCATGTAAGAACAATTTGTTTTAGTGAATAAATTGAACTTGAAATTCAGTTTATGTAACATTTGTGACTAATTATTTGAAACTTAGATAGACTTACAAACAAAGATAGTGGATTAAAGTTCCTTAGGGTCAAATCCTAGTGGCCAACATGAATGTTAATTTCTAACGTGAAACTCGCATATGTTATCTGTCTTAGGTGAATTGTGCAAATTTGCAGAAATATTTTACAATTTCTTTAATGCAATTTTTGTTATGATAATATCATTGGTCACTA